TTCTGACCCATTGAACTCTGCAGAAGAAAACTGAGAATCTGTGCTTTTTCAAGCCCCTGGTGATTTTAATGCATATCCAATTAGAAGCCATATCTCTAGTCCAAGCTAGCTGCAGAACAAGCCAGGACTTAGAGATCATGCCTCAGGCCCAGGCCTGCATCCCGTTAGTGGATTCTGCCTGGAGCTCCATCCACTCTGCAGCCCAAATTGCCCATTATGAGGTGGATTGGGTCAAATTCACCAAGTTATAATGCCAGGTGGGCCCAGCAGCAGTCCATTGAGAGGCTAAAGCTGTGTATTGGGATAAGCACAAGCAGGGCTAGAGGCACATGAAGCCATGTGAGCAGGCCACTAAGACCTCCACGATGTCCACACTGCTGTGCTTTCCCCTCAGTTCACACGCATGGCTGCCTGAGAAGGCACTGCTGAGGGAGGAAGCAAAGGCTGAGTTTGGTTCACAGATGGTTCAGGTCAGCATGTAGATAGAAGCCAAACATCATGGCCGTTGTCTTACAGCTCAGCTCAGCTCAGCTGAGGGTTAGCCTCGAAGAGGGGGGAGCAGGGCTTGGGCAGCATTACTGGTCATCCACTTGGATAGAGGAAGAGGTGGGCCTGTGGTTAGAATATGTATAAATGGTGGTGAATGATCTGGGTGGTTGGTCTGGAAGGAGAAAGGTAGAAAATCGGGGGAAAGGAGATCTGGGAGAGAAGCATGTGGATGGACCTATGGAACAAGACATGGTACGTGAAGACCTTTGTTTACTGTCCATCAGAGAATTTGGAAAACAAGAGGTGCGCCGAATGGCCAAGCAAACAGAATAATGCAGCCAGCTGACATTGGCCAGCTTCTGACATTGGCCACTGCAGTGCTGGATGGTGGACACAGGAGCATAGTAGCCATGGTAGCAGGGGTTCAGGCTACCCATGGGGTTCTGCTCACCAAGACCAAGGTAGTTGAATGTCTACCCTGCCAGCAACAAAAGCGAGTGATGAATCCTTGTCATGGCATTATCCATTAAGGAGACTAATCAGCTACTTGGTGGCAAATACACATTTGATTGATTACAGTGCATCTTTTCTAATCTGAAAAGGACAGTGATTGACATTAACTGGAACGGATGCATTTTCCAGGCATGGGTTGGCCATTTTTGTGCCCAGTACCTCAGCCAGCACCATGACCTAAGTGCTTATCCATTGGTATGAGATCCTACAGCACACCACTATAGACCAAGAGGTGTGATTTACAGCAAACGAGGAACAGCACTGGGCATATTACCATGGCATCCACTGATCCTACCACATAATTATATTCTCCAGAAGCTTGTGGCCTGATAGAATGAAATGGCCTGCTGAAGGCACAAGGGGTGCACCAGCTTGGAAAAAATATCCTGCCAAGATGGAGTACCATTCTTTAGGACCCAATATATATCTCAAATCAACTATTACATGATGCTGTGTTCTCAGTAGGTAAAATTCATGGATCCAAGTATCAAGAGGTGGAAATAGGAGTCACCCACTTACCATCACCTCCCGGCAACTCAGTTGGGGGAATTTGTGTTTCCTGTGCCCACAACTCAGGGCCCCGTGGGTTTGGGAGTCTTGGTTCATTGGGGCAGAGTGCTTCCATCAAATTGGGGATTCTTGCTGGTGTCGAATTGGTGCCAGCCACCATGGGTTGACAACCTCAATGTCACAGTCTCAAGACCAGTTGCAGCAGTGGGGAAGGGAGGTTTGTTCATCCCATTAGTGTTCTTGCAAATTTCCTGAGAAAAGGAGGCTCGTTAAGTTCCCGGAAGAGTTTCTAGAATGTATTAGATAAGCAAGTGAATCTGAGCAGTACAATCCTTGGCGTATTGCCCATATTCTGTCTTCCCAGGACTGAAGAGCTCCTTCCCTAGTTGATGAGCATTGGCAGCCAACAGCTCTCAGCAGTTTCCTCTGTGGGGCCTGCCCTTGGCTCAGGAGAGCTGCCTTGCCCAGAGTTCTGCCCTTTCCAGGAGCAGCTGGCATCCATGACTAGTTGGGATGGGAGTATAAAAGCCTGGGCCCTGGTCCCCATTTAGATTTATCCCAGTTCTCAAGCTCCCTGTGGGATTGGCTGAAGCCTGCATGGTGACCATGTCACCATACAGATTCTGTCTAGGCTCGGTCCTGTTTCCACACTCTACAGCACACTTTGTATGACAATTTTCATCTAAGAGTTTGTTTCCCAGTTGGTGACATCTCTAGTTCCTAGCTGGGATCTGTGCACCATCGGAAGGCTTAAGTATGTCCACTGCTCTGTGCCCACAATTTTATACTCCAGGGGCAGGTGATGCTGTGCCCAATTAGAGGAGAATTGGATTAGGGATTCCTTGAAAGAGAAGAGACAAAACTTGGCCGGCATAGGGCATGTGAGGAACTTCTGTTTAGTCTTTCACAAATGAAAGGCATTTCTCCCCCTCTCCTCTCCCTTCTCAATCCCCTCTTCAATACTCATTAGCACCAGAGAGTCTGCTTATTGCAGTGAGGTTTCCTGCAGTTAGGCTGCAGGAGAGACAAGGGGGCTTGTCATACCTGGAGTGGGATCCAGTGATCGCTCTGAATGGGAGCCATTCTGTCATAGCCACTAGAAGCTCTCTGATGGCTCCTGGAGTCTATGCTTCTACTCGAGGTTCTCAAAGAGAAGCTCCTCAGAAAGGCTCGGTTTGAGATATAGTAAGTGTGCAGTTACCTTGGCCTCTGTCTGCCTTAGGAGTGTGAGCACAGGACCCTCGCCCAACCTTTCCTGCCCCAGTGGATGGAGATAGAGATGTTTTCCAAGGGAAAGTGCTCTCACGGCAGGAACTCTTGTGGGTTCACCTGTTAGATTCCCTATTTTCTTCCCTAAAATATTATTACCCTCATATTATGGACAGTCAAGGCCCAATGTAGCATAGTGAGAGAGACTTGACTTAGGGATGAAACAAAAGTCACCTTTCTCCCAGGTCAGTGTCTCACTTACATTGCCTGTGCCAAGGCCACCACATATAGTGGGCCAATGGGACTTTGGTGTGGATGGTGTCCCTGGAACTGTACGATGCAGTGACCCTGCTGGACATAGCATGACGCAGTGGGCAATCAACCCCCTGGCTTGGCAGCATTAGACGAAGTAGTGTTATATCAGCAGGGCACCTATGATCTCTTTCTACCCCTGTTCCAGGCATAGGGGGGCCACACGACTGACAGAAACGCAGGCTGACTTCATGTGCTGCAGAGGAATCCTGATCTGAGTTGCTCATACAGGAAACAGAGGTCTTGTCCATTTGGTTAGAAGCTCTTGAGCTTGGAAAGCTGGGGTGTAAGGGGGAGGGTGGTGAAGGGAAGTGCATTTTCCAGGTCTAAGCTGCCATCCTTTAATTGCACCTTTGTGGAGGTATGGAGGTTTCCATGTCAGCAGTCCTGCTTCTCAGTCCTCAAGGTTCAACACTCCACTGCCTTGTCCCATTCTTCTCACAATTGTCCTCTTTCCTCCCCATCTGCCACTGCCCTGCTCCCGTTTCCCATCGCCTCTCGCCTCCACATTGCAAGGGTGTGCTAACCGCTCTTCTCTTCCCAGCTCACTCTGGCTGTCACCGCAGGGTTATGACTCCTAAAGCCCCTCTGATGGTGGCACTCTTCCCCTGCCCCACCCAGCCAAAACTGTCAACACCTATTAATGCTCGGGTGGTCAGAGGCTCTGGTTTGCCTGGGACAGTGTTAATTTATATCTGTTGTCCCAGCATAGCTATTAATGGTGCCTCTTGTATTCTCAAAAGTTCTAATTTGGGTGATAAAAATGACACATTCATCTTACTTATTACTATCTGAATGGAGCACAAACTCCTCACCTTCACAGACTAGCCTCAAGTGTCCTTCCTAAATTTCCCCCCATTTCACTCAGACCTTGGCCCTGACACCTTTCCAATGGGCTCCCCCTCAACTTGAAAATCACTCTGTGATCACATTACCTCTAAGCATTTTCTCAAGCTGATGCCTCTCTCTTTTCCACCTAGCCTGAGGTCCCTCTAAAAGAGCCCCTGCACTTGTCCATCCATCAAGACCTACTTCAAGCTGCAGGCTTATGCCTCTTTAAGTGCCTATAAAGCCATCGTCTAAGTGAGTCTCTTGGGGATGGTCATCTAGCCTTCCTGTGACCTGTGTGTGTATTCTGGGCTGGAGGACAATCAGAGGAGTAAGGTCAGGCACGAGGGATATCACCTGCTGCTGTACTGGGTCATGGGGGAAACTTTGGGCAAGTTGTGAGGTTGGCCAGGAAAAAAGTGGTGATGAAGGTCTTGCTGAATAATTGACAGAGGTACTAGAGTTCTGGAAAGCCGCTCTTAGGGACCGGGATCAGGGGAATAGAAAAGGTTGTCTGGTCCTGTAGATTCTATCCTGAATCTCTTTGAAGGTTGGCCAAGCCAAAAGATCATTTCTCAGAAACACAGCTCCCACCCCCATAGCTATACTGGTCACCCCCGCGGTCACCTCTCTACCTCCCAGCTCAGTGTGGATTCCCCACAACAATACAGCTGTGGGCTGTAATAGAAAGTGCACTATGATGTATTCCTAAAATAATTATTTATTTCCAGTTAACATGATGAGTCACACCTTTCATTCACAAGGGCAATGTCTTCTTAAAAAGATAAAACATTTTCACATCTTTGCCAGGACCCTGGCAAGATTCCAGAGAGGTAGGGAAGAGAGTAGGAACATTACTCCAAAGAAACAATGTAAATTACTTTGTGGGGGGATTGGATTGGGGTTCACAGAGGGGAAGGGACCTGACCAAAGCTTTCCACGTTAAAAACAAATAGTATTCATGACAGAGAAGCTTAAAAACACCAATAACTTACATACAATATATTTTTCATTATTAAATAGAAGCCATTCCTTTGGGGAAGATGAGGAGATGATCTCAGAAGGCATCTTAGGAAGGCCAGAGAGAGAATGAATCAGACATTTCTCAGGCTCTGGTTTGGTTTTAAAAAGGTGAATATTTATTGCTTTGGAGCTTGGGATTTCTTGTCCAGGTACTTCATGGCTTCCTGAACCCACTTATTTTGGGGATTGGCGCAGATCTCTCTGGACAGTTTGGTCTTGAAGCTGTGGGAGAGAGAGGAAGCAATTAGAAGGATCCTCTTTGAAAATTGTGTCCATTTAACCCCAAATTCCCAGGACCATCCTCCACGAGAGGAGGAAAGCAGAGAGAGGAAAGGTGGGACTCGGGTTGGTTAGCTGCTGCTCTTGCTGGCCCAGTCAAGCCACCCTTGCTCTTGACTCGAAGGAACTAGTATGACCTGAACAAGCTTGCTGACAGAGAGATAAGGGTGGAAATGTCCCAGAGTGAAAAAAGCATGAATGGGAAGATAGAGGTCCAACTCTCTGAGTTTCTGATTCCAAGTAACTCTGACGCAGTTCTTGACCTGTGCCCCCTAGAAAAAGAAATTTTGGGCTGGGAGAGGGCGAGTTTTATCTACTTACATCACAGCCTTCTGGGGACATCTGCTGTCAGTGATTCTTTTGTAGCTCTGCAGTTTATGACTAGAGATCTTCTTACTGGACACTTCGAAGCAGCAGACGGTTGGGACAGAAAGTGCTAAATTTGTGGGAGAAATAAAAGAAAGGGTAAGCCACTAATAATATGTAGACATTTTAAAGCATGCCTTTGGAAGGGAGGGAGGAAATTTAGGAGAAGGCAAGAAAATATGAGGAGGTAGAATTCATTGCTCTGAGGTCTTATACTTATGCCCTTGACTTGGGGTCGCCCTTGAATGGTGGGGACCCATCACCACTGGCAAAATTATAGAAAAAGCGTGGTCAATGCAACAAGCTCTAGTCCTGTTTCTACAGAGCTATGTAGTTATGTGATCACCATAGTACTAGTCACCAAACAGTCTCCATTCTCTGCTTTCTGGACACATGGTAGACTTGCATTTCTTGGTCACTTTTGATTGATTGGAGCCATTAACTAGTTTGGACCCATAAGTGAGAAGCCAAAGTGACAAGTGCCATTTCTGAGCCAGAGTTAGTAATTTCCAGTGCAAGAATCTCAAGAGTTTTCTTTCCCTTTGTCATGGTAAGCAGCAAGGCTCTCTAGGGCAGCTGCTCCATCAGCCTAGAATCCTGAGTGCATGAAGCAAAAGGTCAAGCCAATACATTATAGACATTCAGTATGAGTGAGAAATTAACCTTTCTAGTTTCAAGTCACTGATCATTAGGGTTGTTTGTTATAGCAGCGTGCACGATCTTATTTGGACTGATAACATGCACTAAATCTAAGTCATGAGAGCATGAAAAAAATAAGTTATGATACAAACACCTAGATTTTCCCCCCCTAGACAGGGTAAAAATATGTCACCTCAAGAGATTCCCCTGGAACCTCATTTCCCTTCCCTAACCACCATTTCTGAAAGCTGTCTTGGAGTCCCTTAAAAATTCTGGACCTCTAATCAAGCATTTTTCCCCCCCTACAGCACTGCCCCAAAATACCCACTGTGCCCACAGTAAGAGAGTGTATTTCTTTTGTGTGCTCCAACCCGGAGCACTGCAAAGGCAGCCAGATCGTGGGTATACTCTATATCTCTCAATACCCACGTCAGAAGAGAAGGTGGGGACCAGCCTGGGTTTCTCTTTCACCGATAGTGAGGTTGGGCACTTCTTGTCCACTCATGGGGCCGATGTGATAGTTCTGGAGGTGGTCAGCTCTCCCATAGGGAGAGAGGGGGCTTACCTGGCTGAGCGAGCACCTGGGTGCTGAGGGTGGCCACTGTGAGCAGCAGGCACAGGAGCACTGCGGAGACCTTCATGCTGCAAGGTGACGATGCGGCTTCAGGGTGGGAGTTGTCTGGTTCGTGCTTGTCTCAGGTTCTCTGCTCCTCTGGCTGCTCCTCCTGCCTTTTAAAGCCAGCAGGGAGAGTGGGAGTTTCCAGGGAAGCCTTGGACTCCTCTAAGTCATAGTCAGGTCATCAGTGGGGGCCCCAAGCCGATGATGACCAATTTGTACTTCCTGCCAAGCTAACAGGACTTGAAAACAGAAGGGGAAAGAAACTTGGCACATTTTTATCCATCTTGAGGTTTCACGTGGGGAAGGAAGGAAGCTTGTGAAACGACTGAGCAAGGATGGTAACTTGAGAAGGTCGTTCTTAAAGGCTCTACTTTCTCTGAAATGAAACATATGTAGTGGGGAGCAAAGCAAGGGAGCCAAGGGCATGAGGAGATGAGCAGGCCTAAGAACCTTCCCGGGTCCCCGTGTTCACATGGTGGTCTGCAGGATTTGAGAAGCCAGGAAGGGGCTCTCAAACTTCTGCTAGGCTCCCATCCAGATGCAGAGAGATCTCAGCAGCTCTGGCCATCGCTGGCTCTCTGGGAACCCAGGAACGGTAGGTTCTCATGAGAACCTCACTGCCATTGTTCCATCTAGTAGCCATAGAATCTTAGTGCCTCTGAATTTTAGCGTCACAGGACATCAGAACCGGGTAGCTCCGATTGACAGATTTTCTGCTCATTTCCTCCCCGGCTCCCAACTTTATTGAGGAATAAATGACAAATAAAGATTGTGTATATTTAAGGGGTACGATGCAATGGTTTCTTTGAACAAAGGAAATTCACCCAAAAATGCCCCTGGAAGTTTGAAAAAGCAGTTGAAGTATAAACACCGCCTTTGTAATTATTCAAACGAAATGATTCTTTTTTTTTTTTTTTTTAATATATCTTTATTGATTTCAGAGAGAGGAAAGGAGAGGGAGAGAGAGAGATGGAAACATCAATGATGAGAGAGTCATTGATCAAGCCCACAACCCGGGCATGTGCCCTGACAGGGAATCGAACCCCAATTGCTTGGATCCTAGGTCGACGCTCAACCGCTGAGCCACGCCTGGCCTGGCGGAAATGATTCTTGATGTTTGCGATTCCATTGTTTCGAGTTATCAACAGCTCCTGGACCAGGATGGCCATCAGTTTGCAAATGGGCGTTGACCAAAAAAAATTATTCATTTCTGTAGACTCTTTCACATGTTGAAAATGAACTGTATGTTAAAAACGCTGACTTGATGATCATTCAAAGTGTGCATACATTTTTGGGAGACGCCCTATTCATATATGTTGTGACGTGATTACAGCAATCAAGCGAACCCCCATGTCCATCACCTCTGTCATCTTCCATAGTAGCCTCCCCATTTTTTGAGGTGGTGAGAACACTTAAGATCTACTCTCTTAACAAATTTCAGATCTATAATATAGTCACCAAGCAGTTCATTAGGTTCCAAGAACTTAGTCATCTGAAACTGCATCTTCACAGCCAATGAGCCGCGGCCACCAAGGAGCTATTTGAGGTGAAAGATAGTCCTATCCATGTTCACTACTTTGTCCCCTGCACCTATCATACCACTGAAGAAATATTTATAAAACGTAAAGGGTAAGATGACTCTTTAGGGGCTGTAGATTATGTTTGCACCATTTGACAAAGATCTCCCCAATGACAAATTAAAACCACAATGAGACATCACCCCACACCTGTGAGGATGGCTATTGTCAAAAGACAAGGCATGATTATGTTGACAAGGCTGTGGAGAAAAGGGGAACCCTTGTCCCCTGCTAGTGGGGGTCTAGGTTGGTGCAGCTGCTATGCAAAACAGTGTGGAGGCTCCGATGCATTTCTAAACTATTTTTTTTAGCCCCTAAAACCTTTTTATTTAAATGGAATCAATAGCAAAAACCTGTTCATCAAATACACTGCAGTGGAGTGGATCTGTTTGAAGCAGAATGGGTGGCCCCCTAAACCCTCACACCCCAGGGCTTCAAGGACCACGATGGAAACCAGAGGCTTAGTTCACCCTCATTCCTGAGCACACGTGGCAGGTGAGCTGCTCCGTGGGTAAAAATAGCCAAGAGAAAGAGAAGGGAGAGGAAAGGATTCAGGTAGCCCCGGTGCACAGCACTAAGCCCCCTAGTGGGAGATGGTGCGAGGGGACGCAGCCTTTAACAGAGTCTTTAATGAGGTCGGCAATTAAAGTCCCTCACGGGGTCACTGTGGCAGATTGAATACTGGCGTTGAGGCTTTGCAGGTTCTTTCTTGGCTTTTCCCGTGCTTGCCTACCAAACCAATGGACTGGGCCAGGCTGCACGGGGAGGTGTGTTGCCCAGGGTTAGGGGACTAACCCGAGGTCTCAGCCTCACCTGACTGCTCATGTCCATTATGAGGGCAGAATTAAGAAATCCTTGCTGGCCTCGATGGTCTCTAAGCTCCTATGTAAAATAATTGATCTCCAATTACCTAAAAAGAGACCAAGCAGAGGCCGGAAAACCTGGCCCTTCCTTGCCCTTTCCTGTCCTTCGCCAGGTGGGGTGGCCTAGCGTGGACTCTGGAATCAGGCCCCTGAGTTTGAATGATGGCTCTGCCACTAACTAGCTTTGACACCACGGACACCTTATCCGCTCGCTGCTGAGCTAGGATGGGAAGGATAGTCATACCTACCTTAGAGAATTGTCGTGTGAATTAAATTAGTCAATATATAACTACATGTAGGAGGTGCTCAGAAGAGTGACCAGGTCACTGTAGAGACTCAGTAGATGAAAATTCATACTTATTGTTGTTAGGAAATGAGACAGGTTTTGAGGGCCAGAGGATGCTGGAAAAGGACTCTGAGTCTGGCCACACTGCTTCCCCCAGATTGTCTCCTCAATTTTCCCACGGCTTCCAAAGTAAAAACATGTTACTCTAGGGATGGCTCTCAAGATGTAGGAGACACACATGTGGGAGATGGGGAGTCTCAAAAGTTGTGCTTAGGATGTCCTTGACCTTGGAGGCAGTAGGCTAACATAATTGAGAAATTATGTTCCCGGAGCAGGAATAATTTCATAACTCTGCAAGGTGATTGGCGAGCCACATCAACGGGTGGCTTCCCATTTCCGAGTTTTTCTCCAAGGGCTTTGGAGGAATCTAAATGAGAACAAGCTCTGTGGGAATAAATAAACACAGTCTTTACATGTCTAAGTCCAGCAGCTGTGGCCAGGCTGTCCCTAACGCGCAGGGCCGGCTCCACTGGCTGTCTCTTCTCTTGTGCTCAGAGTTTTCTTCCTCTGCCATGGCCTGGGCTCGATCCACTCCTTGCTTTGGTCTGGTGCCTGGGAAAAGTGAGACCTGGGCCAAGAAGGACTGTGAGCCATGGGCAGGAAATGGGTCCTTCTCAGTGCAGCCAAACTCTTATCTTTCTAAGTGTTTTCCAAGCAATGATGAGTGAACAGAAGTCAAAGGCCTGGGAAAGCAAGAGTCCTTGTTTTGCCGATCTGCTCCAGGCTTCCTCTCTTAATGCAAAGTTATACGCAGGTGAAAGAGACGTTCACATACATGTTATTCCAACTCTCTCTTAAACAAGAAAAAAAAGGACCTGAGACTTGGGGACCAGTAACAAAATCCCTAAGGCAATGTGGCAGGTTTTAGGGTGCGCTGGTTCTAGCACCTCTGTCTCTTGACTCCCTAACTAGTGAAACCTTTACCACATTACAGTCCTTGGACTCAGTTTTCCCTTCTGCAAAACAGGGCCAAGTAGGGGCTGCTATCTCCCTTTCGCAAGGGCCACTGAGACCATGTCTGCAGTTCCTTGTTACTTTTGAAGGAAAATCATCCCCAAATATATGCTAATATAAAAATTCTAACAATATGTTTAGCAAACAGTAAGGTCTCAATAAGAATGCTAACTTAACACAATCTACGCAAGTGGCATTATTATTGCATTTTACATGCGTTGACTTACTTAATCTTCCCGAGAAACCCATGAACTAAAGTCTTCTAAGTTCATTTTAAAACTGAGAAAACAAAGGCTTAGGGAAGCGACATGTCTTTCTTTTCTTTGAAACCATTTGTGGAAGGGAAGCCTGCTTCTCAGAGCTGCCATGAGAAAAACCAAAGCTCTTTTATGTAAAACACCCCCACTGTTGGTTACATCATCCCATACAATCCTTTGGGGGTAATCAGCTTTACTTTATTGTACAAAGGTAAAAACTGAGCCTCAAAATGCTGAAATAGTTCCCTGAACCATTGGTCAGGGTAATGCATAGCATATGCTTCAGCAATAACAATTGCAGAAGTCTCAGTGACTCTTTGCAACAGAGACTTATTTTTTGTTTATGTTATGGCTTCATCTTGGTCAAGCAGCTTGCCGAAGGTATTCTCTTCTGAGGAGTGACTCAGAGATCCAGGCCTCTTATAAATTACAGCCTTCATCTGGAACATGTAGCCCCCAAGTTCCCCGAGACAGAGGGAGAGAGTGGGAGATTGCGCAGGATGTTTGAAGAACCAGTCATGGAAGCAGCTTATATCAATTCTGTCTGCATCCTGTTGGCCTAAACTCATGACTCTCATCTAATTGCAAAGGGGGCTGAGAAATGAAGTAAAACATTTTGTGAGGACTAATTGTTTCCATCGCAGCCTGTCCTTGGCTGACTTCTCTTCAACAGAGGTTCACACAATTAACCCATCCCGAAGACAGTCCTGAGTCATTGCCTCAACCTAAATGGCCAGGACCTCTGCATGGCGGGTGGTCCTCTCTGTCAGGTGAGGACAGGCATCTCCTTTGTCAAGTGACCAGTGAACTAAGAAGACAAGTTTTTTGCCCCTTGCTGGATTTTTAAGTTTGGAAAAGACAGAGTGCATGCAATCAATGTACTCATCGATGGAGGGGAGGGTAGTAGTCGCCAGTGGCCAAAGCTCTGCAGCCATCCTGCAGTCCTTGAGGCAGATATTTCCAAAGTCCCTCACCCTTGAGGAGGTTTGATTCTGCAGTCTGGGGAAGTTCTTTCGTCTTTTTGA